TTTATATTACACAAAATAAATCATAAAATCATTCAATATTATTAAAAAATCGAATTTTTGTGCTATTGCTTTTTTAAGTTATATAAAATAAAAATTCAATATCGAAGGGAAAGTTTTTCTTAATTCAACAAATATTTAACAGTTACCATTTGAAAATGAGTTATAAACAACAGGTTATTATAAACAAAATTTTTGAACAAATAGTTTATTTAAATCTACATTACATAATCTTTCACTTGTTATCGATTTTATGTGTTACAATCTAATTCCTATTAATTGTTTCACGATTGATTTTTTTTTAATTAGGAAAAAAGTAATATTAACAATAATTGATATTTGTATCATCAAGAGAATTGATTTCTAGGTCGAGACCGATGTAATTGAGATTGTTTACAATTAATTAAATAATTATATTAAAATTATTTTCATATAGGTGATAGAACAAATATAATGAAATAATCGAAGATATTTATTAAACGTGTATTATTTTTATTGAGTAAAAATATCAATAGGGTATTATTGAATTACATACTGTATTAGTTATCAAATAATTTGGATATATCGAAAAATAAAGAGATATTTTATAAAGCGTAGTATTTTCTTATTAGAAGCATTTTATAATTACAAGAATCGTAAAAGCTTGGCATTTTATATTGTCGAGGGAAATCATCGGTATATGTGAGGTAGTCTGGTGACGAAGGTGAACGAGAGAGTTCAACATCGAGAAAGTCGAACGACATCGTATTCCATTGTATACATAGTGACGCGCAAGGTCCGTATAATTATTCCAGTGAGGTTCAACTGTGGTTAGTATCCCCTCGATGATTATCCGACAACGGCACCATGAGCAAGTCCAGCAGCCACTACTCCAGCCACTACAAATGTCCATTTCGTTAATACCAATATCTTATGAAAATTTTCATGAATTAGATCATAAATAAATACATACATCTATTAGATTATATATCTACAAAACAAACAAAAATTCTTTTATAGATTAATAACATTACTAATTTTTGAATATATCCTACTTTTGAAGAAAATCTTTTGTTCAAAATTATTTCTTATTAATAACGAATTAATGGGTTTATGAAAGAAGGATCTGTGTTATATTTTTATCGAAATTTGTTCTTTTTTTTTCTTAGAAACAAGTCCTATGTGAATTTTTTCTGACTCTCATATGAAGTTTCCTATAAAGTATGAACCTTCTTCTAGACACCTATTCAAATATTTCTATTAAGATTCTATCATACATCACGTGAAAATGATGACATGAATATGATGATAAAATTAGATGAATATGTAAATCATTAAATATTTGACTGTTTACCAGGAACATGAGCTGCCACTACCCCGGGTGCAACTGCAGATACAACAGCACCACCATGAGGACCAACCACAGCGGCTGGGACAGCTGCTGGACCAATTATTGCAGTTGCGGGCCCAACCAAAGGTACACCCAAGACACTACGACGTTCTCTTTCCGGAAAAGCTGCCACCATCGCGAACATAGCAAGTACGACGATCTAAAAAAAATACAAAATAATAATAATATATATATTTGAGTCCAATTCTTCTCTATAATATCTCTCCAAATCTTGAACGATTATTTTTACCTCGTTTTAATATAAAAACAAAACAAAAACCAATAAGCTTTCGATATCTCCGAAATATATATTTTAAAATCGTATCCTTTAGAAATAAGAATTTCATCTCAATCTTAAGGTATTATTTTTGCCCGTTGGTTTATTATGCAACACACAAAAGTCTTCTTACATAGGTATACTTACTAAAAATTTCATGATGCTAAAGTTGTTAACTGCGACTTACTCCTTAGGTAAATGCGGTCAATCGATGAACATCATTCGACCTGCTTCGTCTTTTATAGTACTCCTTCCCCTAACTCGTAATAACATGCCGTAGATAGAAATCAAGGTAACGCATATCATTGACTTTCCAGGTGGTAGGTATGCTGTTATCGAAAGGGTGTGGCTCGACTAAGAACGATAAATCAAGAACCGTTTGTTCATGAAACGACCACCGCGCGTCTTGAATTCAACGTTGCTTTAGAAACTAATCCAATCTTACAAGGATCATTCGGAAAGCCCTTTAGTCCTTATTCGGTTATCCATAATACAGTTAATTCTATAACCTATTCGGAATCTTACTCCTCAGGATAAATCCATATTCAAGTAGATTCATACAATGCCGTAACAATGGTAGGATTAAATACTGGAAAGGAGGAATGTGATTGATCGTGACGCGTTACAATATTACGAGAATATCTTCCTTCATTTTACGTTGTCCTTCCTTTCCAAAGAAATCATCTAGACGATGATCCAAGGTACACAGTGATTCCTTTTTGTTTTTTTTTGTGTTTCTCCTCGAGTATATATAATCGTTGGAATCTCTCATGAGGAATATCAGTAACTAAGGTGTAATCGAACGTTAACGTGGTGTGAAGTATCGACAAATTTTTTTCGAGAAGATTTAAAATAAAATAAAAAAAAAAAATAATAGCCTAACGCATATCTCTCGTCGCGAAATAACAACGATGAAGTTATCGGTAAGAATAATAGAGGAAACTTAAATCGTACTGCGTCAACCAAATCTGGCCGAACTATAGAAAAGAATGACAAAAAAAAATAAATTAAAGAAAATAAAGAAAAGGGGGTAACGTTACGATAAGGGAATACGCGTTGGTGGGCGAATAACGTTTGAATCTTGCCAGATGAGAAAAGTTTAATTCGTTTGTTCGTAGTAACGCCCAATGACCGGTGTCGTCGATGAAATACGAGCGACAAAGTATCGAACTCTCGTCTTCGTGTACGTTCAAACTAGAATTACTTATTTCTTCGTTCGATACGTCCGTTAGTAAAGTATCTTTCTCAAGCATCAACTACTATAGTATACGTATACCTTTGCGGCGAAGGGATACTTGCTACGTAGTCCTCCAAAGGTTCTTTATCGAACATCCTTCTCGATAGTTAACAGAGAAAATTTATGTTCTTCCTTGTTTCGAACCTTTTCCCTCTCGAGTTACTTCTATTTCCGGAGATAGATATCGATTTTTCAAAGAAGTAAATCACCAATTACCGAGACTCTTACAACTCTTACACGATATATATATCCAACTTATATATTTTATTATAGGTTTTATATCCACTAGATGTGATAAAATTGTAATAGTATATAACATTTTATATATATAGTTTAATAATTAATTTATTTATTACGATTTGCAAAATTGATTATTTATTATATTGAGAAATATAAATCAAATCTTATATACGAACGTTATGCGTTACGAGTTATGTACGTGTTATATAAAAACGTTACGTCGAAAATTGCACCGCGGAAGTCGCGTAATCATCACACGTTTCTCCGATACGTTCTCTACGTGGATATTTGTTCTTTGTGTCGAAAAGAAAATTAATTGGTATTATTATTTGTTCGAATTTTATTTTATATATCTCGTACGTTCTTATATATATATAAAAAAAAAAAAAGAAATTAAAAAATTATCTCCGTGAATTTCTATGCATTTTTGTTTTTTTTTTTTCTATATTTCTTCGTTTATACATCGATTGTACATTTTATTAAAATATTTTTACGCATTATAATACATCAATGGAAATATGCAAATTGCAAGCGTAGATGATGTCACTACTCTCTATGCATTTATATGCACGTTTAAACTTTATAAATACGAGTATTTACCTTTTGCATATTGTTATATCCATTCAGACCTGATGCAACGATATCCGAAGGTCGGATATTGTTCTCTAATCATAAAACTTGCTGACGCGAGACACGACAATAAACCCGTAGCGGAAATGTAAGATGATTCGTTAGATAATTTGCAGTACATTATACCACAAATGCATAGCAATACATTTCTACGAATCGCATTATTCATTTTGATTTAATAACTATCATAATAATATAAAAGATTTAAAATACAATATTTTGTACTATAATAATATAAAATATATATTATAAATTTGTTCTTTTTTTCCCAGCTCTTGACATTGACTTTATTCTCTTTCGCTCGTGGAAATATTTGGCCTAATCAAGAAAGAGAATATGTTACTGAAAATCCACATAATATTTTATCCGATTATAACGTGCAAGATTCATCGGTTCGTTCATCGAACATACCGATTTTATCAACGTCGATTCTTCCACCCTTAAGAAAAGGTATTTTAATTTCAGATATCATATTAAATAAATTAATATTTGTTATAAAAATACAAATAATTCATTATATCTTTTTTGATAGATTCTATTTCCTGGGCAGGATTTTCTCGTAACAACGAAGGATCTACAAAGAAATCTTCTTTGATCGTAGTCAGTCCTACGGAAGCAACTTTCTCTAATGAAAACGAAATGATGATCGAGCCTATAGCAGTAAATACAATTCAACGATACAGTACATCATTTACAACACCTACCGAGATCATTTCACCAGAGACAAGAACACCCATGTTCGAATCAGTAATTAATCCAAGAACGATAACGGTAGCTCCCGATGGAAATGCAAATATAATTGGTATCGAAAGGAACGATGAAATTGCATCAGACGATAGATCGAAGAAACTATTTCTATGCGGATCTCTACGGAACGAGTTGATCGTGAGCAGACCTGGAAGTGGCTCGGTGTTTATCAAAGGTGAATTTTCCCCCCTCTCCAAAGTTATTACGGTTGCGCAATGAAATTCTCTAGTTAGTTTCTACCTTGGAATTCTATTTCAGGTGCATCCAGAGTTGCCATAATCGATGATGATGCTCAAAATTCTGTTATCGTCTGTCCACCAAGTACGAGTTTGATACCACCATCATCGTTTACAGATGAAAGATTACCAATGGATTTAGAAAGGAAACCATTGACACTAAGACCAAGCGTTATTCTATCCGAAATACCTAAAACTCGTGGTTCCAACGAACGACCTTCGACAATCGTATTAAAAGATTATCTCTTACCACCGTATACCAATTGAAAAAGATAAACATGCAAATATGTTTCGCAAGATTTGTTTCATTGAAAAATTATTCGACCTATCCGAACGTTTAATGAATAATGCTCTTCTTATCGTTCGATATCGTACGGCAATAAAATCAACTCGTTATATTATAAATCGTCGATTCAAATAATTTGTACGTTGACATTTACCGCAAGTAAATTGATTGAACGTAGACGTTAATCAAGCAATAAAATGTTAGTAATGACGTTTCATCGGATCAACAATATATATATGCACGAAACATTAAATAGAAAGCAGTAAGCAAGGACAATGAGATTAGAATCTTATTCATTAACATCATAGTACCGTTAACTGATTGATTTCCCAAATTAATTATTATCGATAATATAATATTTCCTATTGTATACACTAATTGAACAATTTCATTAACAATTTACGATTTTCCGATCGTGTATTTTATTTAATTTATTGATGTAATTTTCCTTTTGTTTTTGAAATCTACCAATGAAATCAGATTAAAAGCGGATGAAACAAGGCTTGACAATTAAGCTTGGAACTCAATTATCAGTGTATCCTTTTCTCTGATTTTCTTTCTCTATCTGTTTCTCTATTTATCTGTCTGTCTCTTTCTCTCTCGTTCTTTCTCCTTCGTAGTAAACGGACTGTGTCGAGTTGGCTCACTCTTAGGGTTCGTATTTGCCGCGTAGTTTCACGAATATTTATTCGTTTCATGCTTGAGCTTCTCTCAACGATTTTAAGCGTGGTCGTCGGCCACCAAGCCAAAACACTTTTGAACTTTGTTTCAATGCGACGTACAACAGAGGAGAATAAATATCTTTGAATGTTATATATATATATATATACAAGATGTTAATGAAATTAATTAAACATTATACAAAAATAATATTAATTTTATTCGAGTTTGTGTCAAAATATTACAAGCTTTTAAATCATGTTATTAACAACACATTTTCATAATTAAAAGAAAAACAAAAATCCCAAGGAAGCTTTTTTAAGCTGGAGCTAATTCCGAAGCAGTTACAATATGCGGAACAGCTGGAGCTTGCGGAACAACTGCAGCTTGCGAAACAGCTACAGCCTGCGAAACAGTTGCAACTTGCGGAACATTTGCAACTTGCGGAACAGTTGCAACTTGCGGAACAGTTGCAACTTGTGGAACAGTTGCAACTTGCGGAACAGTTGCAACTTGTGGAACAGTTGCAACTTGCGGAACAGTTGCAACTTGTGGAACAGTTGCAACCTGCGGAACAGTTGCAACTTGTGGAACAGCCTCAACCTGCGGAATAGCTGCAACTTGCGGAACAGCCGCAACCTGCGGAACAGTTGCAACTTGCGGAACAGCTGCAACCTGCTCAACACCTTGAACCGGAACTACCACAGGTGATTCGACAAGAACCGGTTCGATTACTTTTTCAATTACTTCTGGAGACTTGATTACATTGCATCCATTGGTGGGTTCTAATTGATCACCTTCTCCATTATTTAGATTAGAACGTAAATTGCCAAAGTAGGATCTATAATTACCTAACATTGATTTGAATAGATCGGCTGCACTTAACGTTTTATCGTACATGTGTTTTCCAAATTTACTCAAATTTAATTTCTTTAATATTTTTCCTATTTTTCCTTTTGAATGACCATGATGGTGACAGACTACCACCTGTGACAGATGAAATAATATTATCATGTTAATTAATTATATTACATTTATTTATTTCGTTTCATTTTATTAACATAATACTTACGTGCATCGATGCGAAGAGAAAAATAATCGTTAATGTTACTTTCTTAGATTTCATTTTACAATTAAAGGGGATCGATCCCGTATGTAACTTCTAATACAACTCTTTAATTTTGTATTCTGAAATAAATTACGTTAAACGAGTTGCTTTTATATGTATTCCCAAATACTACACACTAATTACAAAAATATTCGGTATTATCTTACGAGTTTTCAATGTATCATTGATACAAAATTTATTGTTTTCAGCACGTTTCGTCTGTCAGTCTCAACCGATAAGATGTACTTCTCATTCTTCATTTACGTAAGTGAAGACCTTTCGTAGTCCAAGTTCGAGAAAGTTTTCAATTTCTTAGATTGTTTTAATGTTAAATATAATATCTGTAATTAAAATTGATATTACCATCCTCCTTCGGTTATATAATATATATTCTAAAGAAATACAAGAATATATTTTTAATGTCATTTATTATTACACAAAAGCGTTCGAACGAAATGAAATTAAGATTTATAATTGCGGTGAAAACATAGAAGAATTTCTTTCTTCGTGCAAGCGAAATTTAATTAAACCGTAGTTTTAGTTTCTACGACTTCGGAGAATATATTTTTACTTCAGATTGAAACTAACGTTTCGAACGCGAATAATTTGATTATTTTTCGAATGATCGATGATTACAAAATTTATACATTGAATTTGTTGTATTAATTTTTTTCTATTAATCAATTTTTATTGATTCATTCCTTTTTTTTCCTATGCCGTGAATATAATTATGAGGTAATTAGAAATTTGCAAAAACATATTTGAAATTTTCTGATAGTCGTTTATAAAGGGCACCTGCAAATGTTCAATTTAGAAAACGATTAATGGTCTCTCATTCGAATGAAAAATTATTTTTTCACAGTTTCGTTGGTTCAACGCAATTAACCCGGGATTAATGTATCCGATATTGTATAAAATTGTAAATGAAAAACAATCTCGCTTTCATGAAAGGATAAATTACTACATTGTCGTCGTCGTTAATTCTTTAATTCGTCCATTCAATTTTCGAATAATATTTATTGCTGTAATTAAAAATCATTTTCGAAATAAGCAATGGTGCATTATCTTAATCGATTGGAAAAATTATGGTAGGAACATAAATACAACTGTTGAATTCATATCGTGTTTAATAAAAAATATTATGTTATAAATTAAACACTCTTTGAAAAAAAAAAACCGCAAATAAATGTTCGATCGAATTTAATATGCGAAATTAAATCTGTATCGTTCGATGCGATAGAAAAGACAATACTTCTTTCGAAATTATTCAATAATTCGAATATCGTTTATATGTGACAACAGTAATTTAATATAGTATTGAGAATTATCTAGCATATTTGTGAAAATTCTCTTTTTGCTTATAATATTATTATTATTTCGCAATATGATGAACATGGACAAAAGCTTTATAATTATCTACTTAATAATCTCTATATATATATATATATATACGACAGTTTAATATTTGTCTTCATTTTTCGAAAAAAGAAAAAGTATTTTAAGTGAACGAATTAATAACGATATGACATGAATAAGCGATAACTTCATTATGTACTTTCATTATCGATGCATATCGAATACGTGAAACGAATCGTAAAATTGTTTGACCCTCTTTTGAAAATGTTATTCCGGGTATTTGTTGAGTAATCTGGTACCTCTACTTTGCATAAACGATAAAATATTCTCAAATCGATTTAAGCTCAATCAACTAATTTTCGATTTTACAAATATTTTTCCAAAAAAGTAATCATCAATCGTTATTAATTCGTTTAATAAGAACGTATCTATTTATTTGCGTACGATAATAAATATCGTAATTTTTTTTTCTTTATGGAATCGTAAATGTTTCGTTTGTGTTGTTAATGGTATTTCCGCACAATTAGAAATAACAACGATAAACCCCTGTGTTTCAGGATTAATTCATTTAAAAAATCATCGATAGATAGACGTAAATATAGGAGCACTTTGATATACCGATTATTACGGTTAATTTGAATTTAATGATTACCGAAATCATCAATGCGTGAACCACTATAATAACAACCGTGCGAAAATTGATCCTTTAATATTCAAATTGATTGCTGAAGTAACCTTTATGATATATTTAATTTCATTATTATCGCGAACCCGATATTCTTTCGAGGTTGTTAAACTTTCGACATTTCGGAACAACCATTAGCATAACAAAAGTGTAAAAATAAAAAAGAAGAACCGTGAACGTGGTCGAAGGTTTACGAGATAAAACATGCTCTCGGTTACGCATAAACGTTGTTTCAACCATTTCAAATGATTCCCATGGTTTAATGCGTTTCCACAGGAAGTCGATGCACTTTTCTTCTTTCAAAAGAATCGTAAAATCGAGCGTAACGGAAGTCCGTATCAGCGGTTGCAAGAGCGAAAAAAGAAAAAGGGGGGAGGGAAAAAAAATGAAAATGAAAATAAAAAAAACATTCGGTAGGAAGAAACGTTGAAACATAATAGGTGCATTAAAAGGATTTAATCATTTCCGCACGTACGAATAAACAAATATGTTACCGACGATTTATAATCCGACATTTAATGAAATAATAATAAAAGCAAAAAGAATTCTCCTTCCCTTCAGCCACTCCCATAAAAAAAAAAAAATCAAAGGGAGAAACACTTTAACCGTAGACAATTCGAAATGTGGTTACAACGTTCGATAGAAAATTAAATAAAGTCATTGGGAGCTTTTCGGGAATGGTCGTGAACGGTAGAGAACGCACGTCCGGTATTTTGTGCTGGTAGGTATTATTTTCGAAGCATTTTCCCGACATTTTCCTGGCATTTTCGAGCCAGCAGCTCGATATAGTCGACGAGGGAGGTGATAGTGCATTAGGGAAGAGAGTGCACGGAAGAGTACGGGCATGGTGTACGACCATTAAGAGAATTACCAAAGGTGCGTAGTTGCTGTTTTTTGTCGGTCCGAGCATGGGGAAAATTGGCACGTTTATTGCGTTTACGTTGTCCCTCGACGTTGAATCGATATAAAGACAAGAACGTTTGATCTTACCGTAATAGTATTTTAACCCTTTCACTACGGCCGTGTTTTTCGCATCGATAGTTCTATTGAACACACCGTTGCAACGAAACTGCATGCACGTTTGTTTTGTTTCTATTTTTCGATAAATTCGATAATACGAACATACATACATCGAACGAAACTTTAAAAATCGTCTTTTAGTTAATCGTCGTTTAGAAACGTAACTTGGCAGACGGGTTATTCGTTCTCGCTATACTTGGATCGATGCCATCTTTTCTAATGTCCGTGGGCTTAAAGGGATCTTAAAAAAGGATGGATTTCATGATGCCGAACTCGTAAAGCGAAATTCTACGGTTGCAATTTCTACGGTTCCCTATCCTTCCCCAAAGAGGATTAAATCTACCCATCGAGAGATACTTATGTGTCTTTCTTTTAATCTCGCCAAACAGGCTTCTATCTCAAAGATTGAAACGTTTCCACATACATCCAATCAACGTTTGTTACCATTTTCGTAAATGCTCTACCAAATCATTTTTCTCTTTCTTTATTTACCACCAGCATCCAGTTTCTACCCTTCCCCCCGTTCTCCTCTCTTTCTCTTCCTCTCCACCAATCATTTCTATCCCACAGCTTTTTTGTTTATCACGTTATTCCATTTATATTTAGTTTTAACGCCCATTTACTTTTTTATTTTATAAAAAACTGTAATATATTATATTGAAAGTAGACATTATAAATTTGTTATTCATTGAAAAGAATTTTTTACTGGTCGTGAAAATGTTACTTAACATTTTATGCGATGAACGCATACGCGTAATAAAATCATTTATTTTTGTCATTATTTTGATCAAAAAACATTGCATCGTCAGGTTATATTTCATAATATATTTTACTTGCGTTAATACGATGGAAATCAATTTCTTGGATTTGTATTGCATTGATATAATACAAATTTTTCGTACGAATACAAGAAAGAATAGGATTATAATATTTTGATATTGATGTTTCGAAATAATTTATAACAAAAATGTTCGTACAAATGTGATAATAATGTGATCGATAAAATTTGATCAAATTTTCGTAGTATTGTAATACTTTTATTTCTTTTTAATTGAATAAATATTCTATATTTAACTTGTAAAAAACTGTGTAATAATATCTTCAAAACTTATCCAACGTTAAACGAAAATAAAAAAATTCGTCGTAGAAATATTTGAAGATGATATAGCACGAAAAATAAATGTTCTCGAGGTATGAACAATTGCAAATTGTTACATGTAGGAGATAGATAAAAGTGAGTTTAATTTCGTCATACAATTGACGAAAGTCGTTCGTATCTTTGCGAAGACAATACCGACGTGTCTTACGAAAGATCGAGCATACCGTTTATCTTCTATCATTTTTAAATAAAAAAAAAACTACTTAATTTTATTACGTTTTATTCCTTTAACGAGATAGTAAGAAAAATTCATATATACTATATCTATATTCTTATATATAAAATCACTTTATTATCAATATAGCGATAAAATTTACACCTACGAAATGTAAAAGGTTAATATTTTAACAAAAGGATTTGTACCTTTCGAATTAAATAACGTATCACCTATTCGATTGTAAAGCTTAATTAATTAATTTTAATAACGAAATATCGAAAACGTTATAAAATATCATGAAGCATAAAATATTTTACATTTAATTTTATATAACAATAATAATAATAATTAAAATGAACCTTAATTATGGTATAGGATAATAAAAGATAAAATACGTACGTATTTTAATAAATATCAACGTATCGATCCATCGGTTTTTCGTTATTTTCTTATTTTTTTTTTGTTCGAATAATAAATCGATAACGCGCGCTTTAATCCGAGACGACAGTTATAAATTCCTCGTTCATCATTTTTCCTATCTTCATTCGTCTTCGCTTGTCTCCGAACCGAAATGGAATGAAGCTTTTAATGAAGCGAACATTAATTTCAAATTTTCTTCGTATTATATCATTAAAATCGTTTGCGTAAATGATATTCAACGATTGTTCTCAATACTGTCGAATTAATCATCTTATAGATTTATTCGTACGAATTGAAAATGAAACTAAAGATAATTATAAATCGATAAACGACGGATAGAATAAAAATGATTATATTGTAGATTCCAGGAATTGGTAATAAAGAAGGGCAGACGGAGGGAGGGGGGCTTACAAAAAGAAAGAGAGAAAAAATATATATAAAAAAAAAAAAAAAGAAAAACCAACGAAAATTTAAAAAATCGAGCCAACAAATAATGGCGATCAGTGAAAAAAACAAAAGCCCGGTTTATTTTTGTTGTGTCGGGAAAAGAATGGAACCGTAGCTGCATCATACGATCGGCTAATTGCCTCCCATTTAACTGGCTTTTAACCAGCCGCTTATCGTTTGGCAACGATATTCCCAAACTCGTTTCGGAACCATTGTAGGCGTTCACCTTCCCTACCAAATGCCAACGAGAAAATGCCTTGTAATCCAGAGTAATTTAAAGATAACGAAAAACGATATAGCCCTTACAACGCACAGGTTCAATAAATTTTTCTAAAACCATCCCTAACTGGGGGATGAACAAAATCTTCTTGGATGAACGTCTCATAAACGCGAACCTGCTGCATCTTTTGTTTTCCAATATTTTTTTTCGAACAAAAATTTGATAAAGTCGATTATTGTTTTTCTAATTCTTAAACGTAATTCAATATTTTTACAAGATAAAATGTCTCAAAGATTTATTTTTTAATTCACATAATTTATAACTGGACTAGCAATAAACTTTCTAATATATCATCATTCCTAACTGTCACATCAGTTTTAACATATTTATGGTTAGTTATAGAAATAAAGAGATCAAAGTTTTCTAAGCTTCTTTTATGTTAGTAGAAAAGCGTTAGTGAGAGGACAACTCTAACTGTCCGAGACCAAAGCTTTTCGATAAAACTTTCTCACCAGCGAATACGTTAGCAAACACTTTTAATCCGTCGAGGCGTAACTTTTCATTGGCTTTCTGCGACAATGCCGAAATCGATGACAAACTCGTTCCTACATTTCTCCATCCGAAAATAGATAACCGGCTCTTCTGAAAACGAGAACAACTTTTACCAAGTCCTAAATAAAACGTGTACGTAAGCACTTATTTACCTTCATCGAAAGAAAACTTTTCTAATCTAGCATAAAATAGGCCCAACAAAGGTGATTACAAATTTATTTCCACGTTTTCATGATTTATTTAACAAAATATATACTTCAATTAGCGTCTCCTTTCTTTCCTCCCCCCTCCACGCCCCCCAGAAAGTTCTGAAAATAAATTACAATCGTATTTGGGTCGTAAAAAGATTTTGTAACGTGGTTTTCAACGTTGTATTAAAACACACGTGTGCACCACGTAGCACGTGCATTAAGGAATTAAGGATCTGTGTTATACACGTGTATTAACACATGACAGGAATTAAGGATCTGTGTTCTTAACACACATGTACACACGGCACGTAAACCGTGTTTTTGGATTCGCTAACACTTGTAAGTATGTATATACATGGGGGTTTTCAGACACGCGCGGATCAGTTAGAGTATTATCGTGAAATAAAATATTTGTTGCAGGTATATGTAAACATATTAAAGAGTTGTTTATTTCAAGCTATTATCGAGATAAAATTTTTTATTTTTATATTCAACTGTTATACATGTAATATTATATTTATACACGAATACACGGATGCTTATATTATAAATTGCACGAATTAAAATTTATATTCGTTTTATTTTTTTTTAGTCGCACGATATCATCTTTACTGTAATGTACAATTTTGTGAAAAAGCAAATAATAAAACACAGAAAAACGATAATAATCTTTGATTATCAAATAGAAAGAATAATTTTAGACAAGGATTATGAACATAATCTTTTCAGTCGATCTCATTCGCTTGCAAATAGAATATATTCCACAGAGATTTTCAGAGAAATGAAGGAATGAAAATAGAAGGAAGGAAAATGGAAAAAGAGGAAAAAATAAAAGAAGATATTTCCTCAGGATTTACTCAGGAAAGTTTCCACAAGGTGAACAGAAGTAAGATACGAAGTCCCTAATTTTAATAAGTCAGTATTATACATTAGATCAATGGTTACGTCGAGATTTAAAAAAAATCAATTTTTAATTGCTTTTATATTTTCGAAAAAATTTTACTTGCACGTTTTCAAACAAATTTTATTTTCCAACTATAATTCATTAATCAGAAATAAATTAGCCAAATCGCAATACGAATTAGAAGATAATATAATACTGTAAGTCTTGGGGATGAACCGTCGTTTATTTTCTTTTTAATAAATTAACAATTACATTTTTCTATGTAACTTTAAAAAAAGAAACGAAATGGATTTAATTATAAATAATCACGAAAATAACTACTTCAATTTTTCCCGCTTGGTACAACGCCATCGGCCGGAGAAAGCGGCAAGCAGTAAGTTCTTTAGAAATCTCTGTTACCAACTTGGAAATAGCTTAAAATAATATCAAGGTTCGTGTCTCGACTAAAACTTTACTCCGACATCGCGAAAACGCACATGTTGTAAGACCTGTTGCACGGCTTATCAAGTATGCGTGCAACTTTAATCGATTCTAATTTAACTCTATCATACAATATCGAAGAAAAATATTCTCTTATTCAGTATATCCAATTAATATCGAAACAATCGATTAAAGAATTAAAATAGAATTAAAAGAAAAGAAAATTTATGAATCTCGTTATTATTAAAATTGATATTAAACTTGCTATATATATAAAAAAAGAAAATTATTTTTATTTGATATGTAAAAAATAAAAGTATGATAAAATATACAATTGATATATTTAAAACAATCAAGTTTTTCGTTTGCGAACGAATGTATAGAGTAATTAAAAAATTGAGAAAAAAATAAAATTGTAAAAAACAAAGATACATGATAAAAAGAGAGAGATATATTCTCTCCCATGAGATATTACACGTTGTAGCACGTGTTAACAGGTGACGCATGCGCAAACGTTATCGGAGCACATGGCCGGCTCGAGGAGGAGTATTGGATGATCGGGTAGGTTCGGGTAGCTTCGCAAGTCGACGACCGAACTACCGACAGTCGTGCGCCGGCCGCTGTTACGGAAGGATGTGTTTATTTATGTTTGTGCGACAATGATTCTCGAGTATCCTTACAGGTTATGTTTACGCGTGTTGTCGGGTTAGATCGAGAACGAACGTTTGAATTGTCGCGCGTTTAATAAATTATCTCACTATTGTCTATTGCAAGGAACTTCAATTTCATCTCAACATCTAATTCTACAACTTTACGAGGAAGATCCAAGGGAAATTCTCTACGAGCAGAATTCATCAGGAAAATCAACTTTAAGAAGAAGGATCGAAAGGAAGGTAGGAAAAAATTGTTCAAAGTAAACGAATAATCTTTTTTTATAATTTTTATATTTTATTATTTTTGATCGTTAACTTATATGTACTGTACCTTTTTCTTTTTTTATTTTTTGTCAACTAGCTTATAATAACTCGTGCGATATATTTGTACCTTTTTCTCTATTTTTTCTTTTTTATTTTTATTTCGTTAATCTTAAAACAAGAAATTCGTTGTGAAAAAGTACCTGTTCATCGATCACCACGTGGTATCTTTTGAAAATACATGGCAAATACGTTTTTTATTTTGTCTTTTGTCTTTTTTATTTCGTTAAGAATTATATAAACAGGTCAAGTATACGACTCGAACGTCCTCCTTTTATCGGGGCGTACTAGTAAGTTAGTTAGGCGAATATGGAGCACGTCGAAGGAAGGAATCGTTGACCGTTCGAAGTCTTACGATTTCAACTACGAAGCTTCTCTATACTTTTTTTTTTTCTTCTTCTTTTTATGTTTTTTTTCTCTCTCTTTATCTCTCCTGTTCTCTTGAATAAACGACGACGATGTTGGGCGGGGGAAAAAAAACTTTCTTCCAACGAATCGAATTTTCTTCTTTAACTTTTACGCGTTGACGTTCTAGCAGACGACTAGTTACTAAAAGTTCTTTTTAATTTTATTTTGTATTTACGTTTTAGTTCGTATTTAATTGCATTTTTTTTTTTTTTTTTTAAAAAAACTTCCAATGAAAGAAGCATTTAATTTCTTTTCCTTTCTTTTTTTTTGTATTTTTTTTATTAGAGAACTACGAGAAAATGAACTACGATAATCGTAGATAATTTTCTTTGAACGAGTACGTTTATCTGTAATTTAATTACCCGTATTATATTTAAAATATATTATCTTGATAATTGTTAAAACATATCGAATATAAACGACCGTTGACCTCTACAACACATGGTACCTATCCACAGTACGAATTTAAACCGTACAAGTTTTATGCAGTGGTAGCCATTTATCAGAGCTTGTAGTATGGGAACTGCGAATACCATTTTCAGTTGTATATATATATGTATATGTGCCACATATATATGCCGCTAATTTTATAATCGACCATAACTCTGTTGTTGTTGTTGTTGTTACTCCGACTGGCTGAAATGAATTTATGGTAGATCCTTTTAAAAGAGGAAAAACAAAAAAAAAACAAACAATAAACTCGTTGCATAGATTTTAATTGTATCGAAAAAAAAGGATACGTTGTTTTCAATTTAATATGCGTTAATTAGCTATTTTCATTTAGTACGTGCAAACTAAATAAAAAAGAAAAATATACCTTGATTTATATTATTTTCCTTTTCATTTTTTGTTTTTCTTTCTCCTTTAAAAAAGAGACACCCATCCTCAACGCTTCTTCCACCCCGTACAAAATGTCAGAGTAATTCGATTGAAAAGCAGTTTACGACATCGTAACTATCGATAAGTCTTCTGCGTTTCACGCGGTAAACTACTTTTCACAGAAAACTAGACGTGAACTATTTGTCCCACGTGCGAGTTGAAGTACCGGCAAATTAAAGTAGAACGTGCTTTCGTGTTACGTTCTCTTCTTTTTCTTTTCTTTGCTTTTTCTTTTCTTTTCTTTTCTATTCTATTCTTTTTATTTTTCTTATTCTTTTCTTCCACGCGCACCTGCTTTTCGCGTATCTTTTTCGAATAGGGAAGACCATTATTTTGTATCCTTTTACTTTCGGTAGGAGGTTAATCGTAAGAATAAAATATGGGGTACATCGTCTTGAGATTTATTTATTCGCGCGCGAATAATGGAAATAATTTTGATAATGTAAATATATATAATATCATTTCTTCTTTCTTTTTCTTTTTTTTTTTAGATACCAATTTAAAATGATTTTAATTATATCGGATATTTTTACTTTATTCGTAATAACCATAATAATAATAATAATCACGGTAACTGCGTTCGTGTCGCGTTTTAATTCCACTTTCATAAAATTACAGAGATATTTTAACGAGTTCGCGGTTATAAAGTTTACAGAGTCATTAAACGTTATCTCCATTTAGAGTTTAGTAATATACTTCGCTACCCAAATTTTTATTTTTATCACGTAATAATATAACAGATCGTAAAAAAATGTATACATTGAAAGAGATTGTCTTGAAGAATGTCTTATGCTTGTTTCCTTCCAAAATATTTCATGTATAGAAAAACAGGTGAACAAAAAATTTCAAAAATAAAGAACGTGCGTGACTACCATATACGATAGCAGTGAAACTCGTTTTATCATGTAGAAAATAATAAATTTATTAATATATGCAGTGGACTCTTTTAAAATCGTACACAGTTATGCTTATCAGATGAATTACATATTTAATGAGTTTTCATTGAAAGAATTATTTATAACAAAAAATTGTTTCGAGTCTCACACAACGACAAAATTTCTATACAATATTTTCTTTTCTTTTATAAAAGTAAATTTAAGCCGAAAAAAAATATCCTAAATTTGTCAACCCACCACCCTATGTATAATACTATATTTAATCGATATTGCAAAGAGATGTTTTGGAAGGACGATAAATTATGAAAATGGGTAGAAAGGATAAGGAAAAAGTGCTAAGTGAAAAATATATATATTCGTAAAATAGTCTTACTAAGGTGACCAATTTTTTTATTTTTCTCTTTCTATCTCTCTCTCTCCTTTTCTCTCAATATCCTATACTTTTTCGAGTTCCTACTCATCCTTTTCTTCTCTCTCTCTTTCTACCTATTTCTCGTGATTAAGGCGTTTCTATAGCCACGACGAATTATCGTCGAATAAAGCCTCTCGATTAAGGCGAGCTGCGAGCGACGGCAAACGAATCGGAAGAATTTCGTTTAACAGCTCTCTCTCTGTCTCTCTCTTCTTCTTCTTTTCAAAGGACTCTCTCAAGTTGGAATTCAAGAGAGCAAAACCAAAAAAAAAAAAAAAAGAGAGAGAGAGAGAAAATATCTTTCAATGATGTCAACTGTCTCACCTTTTTTTTTCTTTTCTTTACGTATTAATTATTATAGGAAAATTGATCTCGTTAAAATAAATGTTTTAAAAAGTATGAAAAGAGAAGTAAGAGATATATATATATATATATATATATATATA